GTGTCCCTCCTGCTTCCCTCCCTTATGCACTTACTCTCATTCAGGCTCCAGTCTCATGGGCAGCACCAGCAGCCCTGAAGGCAGAAACTCATTTCTCACTCAGGGTTTGTCTATTAAGGCATGAAGCCTGTTGGCACAAGCTGTCCAGTTGGGCTCAGCAGTGCAGGAGGCACTTTACCACTCCCTGTGTGCAGTCTGCTGCTTCCTTCCCCCTCAGCCAGTGGCAGTGAAGGAAATTATTTGCTGTTTGTTCCCTGCTCTTTGCTAATCCCTCTTTGCTCTCTTCCAGGGCTGCAGCAGGGACACCCTTTACCCTGGAGTGTTAAAGGGCTGTGTGAAAGTCTTGTTTGAGGCATGGGCAGAGTTCCCTCCTTGCTCCAGTGAGGATGGAGATCAAGGATAATGCCCATGACCTGTGTGCTGTCCTCCAAGTGGTCCCTGCCACCTCCTCCTTTATGCCAGTGGCCTTGGGGAAGATTGTCCCACACACCAGAAGCCTCTCCTGGACACTGCCCCAGGGTGCCCTGTGCACCAGGTCTGCAGCCCAGCTCTGCTACTCACCCTTCTGCAGTTGCAGCACAACCTTGCACTTGAAAACTTGGCAGATTTTTGTTATTTCTAGCAAATCAGTACTGGCCCTCTCAGGTGTTCTCACAAAGGTGTATGGTGCTGGTAGGGCCCTGCTCCCAGCAGCCTGTGGGGACAGTGGTGGGGGCCTTGGAAGGCAGCAGTGTTGGGTGAGCAGAGCTGCTGCCCGTGGTGGACAGGCTGGTGCCTGTGGCTGCTTTCAGGCTGAAAAACCCCAGGAGAGGTTTCAACAGCAACAGAAACGTTTAGGGCCAGCAGAGGGTACCAGAGCCTCGAGGATGCCAGACTGTGGCCCTGCTCGTGGCGTTGCCTCCTTCTCCTAGAGGGAAAACCAAGGGATGCCAATGGGCTGTGCTGTGCACTCAGTGTGGCAGCACCACAGGAGGGCTGGGCCCCACTGCAGCACTTGGGCTCCAACAGCATCCCTCTGCTGCTGGGTTTGAGAGGCACATGGTGCACTGCATGTGTGGTTGTGGAGTTGGAAGTCTGGAGGGGCTGGGTGCTGGCATGGGAGAGACTGGCTGTAAATTAGAGCCTTCTGCTCTTCATTCTCCCATTTTTTGGTAAGAGACAGCCTTTGTGGAGGGCTAGAAGGAAGAGAAGGCTGGCCTAGACCCCAAAAGAATAGGCCAGGATAGGTCTCTCATTCCAGTGATTTTATTGCCCCATGTTTTTGCATGTGCCAAGCACCTTGCAGTGTTTCTTGGATGCCCCAAGCAGTGCTAGGGCAAAAGAGGGCCCCTTTGTTTCCTCTCAGGAAAAAAAACCAGCACCTTTTGTCCTCACAGTGCTCCCTGGATGTAAAAATAAGAGAGGGATGTTGCTGCTCCATGGAGGGGATCATCTCCAGGAATAAGTGTAAGTGGATGTGGGAATAACAGCCACATCCTGCCCTAGAAACTGAAGTTCTCAAAACTCCAGGTGTCTGTGAGAGCATCCTGCCCTCCTCACGAGCTGGCAGCGTCAGAAGGGGCTCTGGGGGCAGGGTCAGCACAGGCCTGAGGCAGCAGCCTGGTGTTGTGGCTGTGTTTCTGCCACGGCCCCTGCAGAGCTGCAGTAATGGGTCCTGCAGGTCTCTCAGCCCCTGCCAGTGTCCCACAATTACCCCTGTGCCTGCTCTGCAGGTGCAGGCAGTATCTGTGTCCTTTCAGAGGTGCACAAGAGCCCAGCAAAGAGGGGAGTGTGTGTGGGAGGGCAGGATCAGTACCCACAGCCTGCTGCTAGTGCTGCCTCTGGAGGAGGCCGAGCCTCTGCTCCCGGGCTGGAAAAGAACACCCAGTGGTGGGGCTGCATGGGGAGAGAGATGGGCACAGGGTAACAGAACACAGTGCAAAGGGCTCTATTTCCCTCATGTACCTTCCTTCCCCCTTCCCTCCTGGCTTCTTTTCTTCCCTCATCAGGCACCCCCTCATCATCACAATTCTTTTTTTCTGTGCTGGAGCAAAAGGACATGGCTGGATATTGGCTGCTGCTGGCTGCCAGAGGTGGTCATGTGTCATTCAGAGGTTTTAAATGAGCCATCATCTCCAGGAACCCCAAGCTGTGCTGGGCGTTGGCAGGTGTGGAGGTTGGAAATTGTCATTTTTTAATGTTGTGTTCGTGACATGATAAGAGCTGAGGTGGATTTTTGTGCTGGGGATCAGAATGATTGATGTCTTTGTGCCAAGAGCTGTGTTGATGATATGGTATGAGGTTATGTAAGTGTGCATACGACGTGAAACAACATCTTTTAGCAATTAATGCATGCAGTGTTACCACAAGGAGCGGAGCTGGGATGTGCACAACTGGCATTGTTTGGAACTTGAGCTCACTGCTTGGTGCTGACTTGTGCTGAGCACAGCACTGCAGGTGGAAACTGCGTGAGGAGCAGCAGTTCTCAATTGGGTAGGTGCACAGTGATATCTATTTGATAAAGGACCATCATCCTCCTGGTGAAGGTGTGTCAGTCTCATCTGAAGTCCTGGCATGCTGAGATTTGGGATAAAGTCCCTGTCCAAGTGTGGTTAGATGACCAAAAATACTAACAGAGAAAGCAAAACCAGTCAGGCTTGGCCAGTTGGATCTGAGCAGCAGAGCATTGCCTTACCTGGCCTGCTGACCTAGCCCTGTCCCTCCCTCACCTCAGTGCTGCCTCTGGCACAGGAAGCCCCTTCCCTGCCCCTGGCTTGGCTCTCTGGGAAGCACAGCTGGATGGATGTAATCACCCCAAACCAGGCAGGCACCAACAAGGATCAGGTGCCTTTCATTCAAAGCTTGGGCTGTGGTAGAAGCCCTCTTGCCCCAGTGAATTAGTACCTGAAGAACTTGTAAACTACATCTGATTCTGCATGAGATGGGTTCATCTGTGTGAGTGGATCACTCCAAAGACATCCAGTCCACTGGGCTCTTGCCAGCATTTTTAGTTGTCTGAGGACATCACCTTAAGCTGCACCAGGGAAGGTTTAGGTGGGACATTAGGAGGAATTTCTTCACAGAAAAGATGCTTGGAATGGGCTGCCCAGGGAGGTGTGTAAGGAAAGACTGGACGTGGTGCTTAATGCCACGGTCTAGTTGACATGGCGGTATTATGTCATAGGTCAGACTTGATGATCTCAAAGGTCTTTTCCAATCTAATGGATTGTGATTCTGTGAAGCTCATCAGAATATTTCTGTGAAATGTCAGTGGAGCTCCACTACTGTAAAATCCAGCAAAGCTGAGTCATCACATCTGCACCACTCAGATTTCTTCCATCTCTGTGTGGGATGAGAGCTGTTGCAATGCAGCAACATAACCTCTGAGCATGTTGTGAGTGTCACTTCCTCCATAAAATAAAACAGAACCCAACTGCAGAGTCCTGAGGGCTATTGCTCAAGGATGTGAGATAAACACTGGCGGGTGGGATTGGCTGATATGGGCAATGTGAGAAACAATCTCATCTGGTCCAGCAAGCACCAACCTCAGACAAATGAAGCTGGGACTCCTTCCCCCTTTCTGCTGCTGACTTAGTTGAGCAAGTGACTTTATCTCCTTGCCTGTTCTGGATAATGACCTTTTTGGAGCACAGATCACTTACCATGACTTTGTGCAGTGCCTGAGAGAACCAGTAGCCCAATACCAGTGGCAGAGTTTACTTGCTGGCCTAAGTAACACTAATACATTCTAGGCTTCTCCAGCCCTGGTTAGGATGAGAAATTTATCTCCTGCAGGCAAAGAAATTCTTTTGATTTGCTCTGGACAATGCCAGAGAAGATCAAGAAATGGAGGCAGACATGGTGCAGCAGTGCTGTGCTGCCATGTGGAGCAGCCCCGTGGCATGGGCCGGGGTGGCTGTGCAGTGCTCTGCTGGGTGGGGCTCCCATGCTGAGTCTCAAGTCCTCTAAGTTTGGTTGGCAGCCTGTACCCCCTAATTCTGGGCTAGGTTCCTTCAAAAGCCCAAACCACCCATTTCATTCTCCCACAGCAGTGATGTACCAGTGTCTGCCACTGCTCTTTGCCATGTTTTGCCATCCTTTTGCAACATCCTGTGCCCTTTCCTTTGCTCTTTTTGCTCACCTCTGCTCCAGGTCTCTCCCAGCAATCCCAGGCAGTCCATTTACTCCTCCTCCCCTTCATTTCATGCCTCATGCCCGCTCTCTTCTCTCATCTGCATGGTCATCCCCTCCTATTTCCCTTCCTGGCCATTGTGGTCTGTCCCGTGCCACCCTGTCACCTTACAGAGTGCTCAGCAAAAGCCTCCCTGCTCCACAGGCAGGCAGGACAGCAGGGAATAACCTGCTGGATCAACTCTCAGCACTGCCTGTTAGCAGCAGGACACCAAGGGACATTCCTCAGAGAACACTGCCTGGACTGTCTGCTGTGGCCATTCCTCTTCTCCTTGCCCTTCAGCTTTTACCCAGCCAAGGTGCTCCACTTCCTCTCCCCATTATTTATCTTGCCTCTCTTTTCTATTTTTTCATAAAGCTTTTGTTTTTTGTTTTTTTGGTTTTTTTCTCAGACTAGAGTGTGGATAATTTGGCCAGCAATGCCCCAGATCTCTGGCCAGGAAAGCCAGGCAGCACTGGTTTATCAGCCTTCTGGGCCCTCAGAACAGCAGCAGGAGCACTGTCCTGCTTGTCTTGACCCCAGTACCCATGGACTGCTTGCTGAGTGGGAGGCAGCTCTGTCCATCGCTGGCCAGTGCTGTGTGCCCATCAGCGCCCAGCACCTCTGCAGTTTAAATAGGCATCTATAAATAGATGCCCAGGCATCCTTCCTTTCTGGAAAGCCTTCACTTGATAGAGTCTGTCAGGTTTCAAACTGCACCTTGTACTTTTTACACTCTGTAACAAATGATCAAAAAGGTGAACTTCAGTATTTCACTAGGACTCTGGAGCTAAGTGCATAATGTTAAAGATATTTATAAGATTTTTAGAGAAACAGTTGACAGCTCATCTAGCATACAGGTAATATCACTGTCCTAGACCCTTGCACCAGAATAAGGTGCACAGTATACATTATCAGATATCTTCCATTTGTGTTTTGTAATGAGGAGGTGTTGGGTGGTCTGCCCAGGAGTGCAGACTGTCACCAGCCTGGGAGGTGTGGGTCATTCATGTGGGTCCAGCAGGTGAAGGGTGAGGGCCTGATCTGGGCAGAACCAAAGATACAGAGGAAAACAGCTCTGCCAGCAGCACAGGGCTCTAAGAAACTGCTCAGTGCCAGAGTCCTGCATACCTGATGCTCAGTCCAGATCTTTTGGCAGCATGGCTGCTGCAGTGGGGGAACTACAATGTCTGATTTACCTGCCTTCTCCTGAGTCAGGCAATTAAAATACCAAGCTTTCCACAGTAACATCACTACTGCCATGCTGCACCAACATGGCTTTACTGTGCCCTACTCAGGGACAAATGCAACTTAGAGTAATAGATAAATCCCATGCAAAGAGGGTGAAGCTTCTGCTGTTGCATCTCCTGCACTGGAGAAAAGGGTAATGCAAGGTCAGAGGACCAGCTCAGAAGGAGAAGCCCAGCATTTGAGTCCCTTCTCTATGAGAAAAACCAGAAGACCTATTTGTTTGTGGCTCCTGCTGCACGCCCCAAATCCAGAGACACAATTTACAGTCGTGACCCCTTCACCTTTCTTGCTCCTCCGAGGATAAAATGGTTTCCTGTTTATTTCAAGGGACAGCTGTTGTATGCACAGGGGAGAGCAGCACTCATGGTTAATGTGGCTGATGTCCAGACACGTTCTGCAGAAGTTGCTTGTTTGTTTGCTGGGCTGTCCAGCAGCTGCTGAATGTCCAGCCTTTGGGAATAGGAGACTCCTAGGCAATTCTCAGATGCTAGAGCATGGGAGAGGACTTGTTCCCCCCACACTGGGATCAGCGGGCAGGGAACAGGTCCTGAGGTCTTTTTCAACATCTGCCATGTGCTGAAGTATTTTAGGAGCTATTAGGTCCTCCTTTGACTTCTTCACCTGGCTCATGTGTGGCCCAGAGATGTTTTGTGTCACCCCTGGGAGAGCAGAGGCAATGCTCTGCCTCGGGATCCCATAACCTCAGTAAATGCTGCTACACATGATTTGGGGTTCATAGCCAAGGCTGTGAGACATCCAGGACCAGTGAGGGAAAATTCCTGCAGTCAGTGCCCAGACAGGCAAGAGAAGTCTTGGGGTGTAGACAATCCTAAAAATATTATCACCATGGGAGTCACTCCTCAGGCTGCTTTTGTGGTCACTTGGACAGAAGAAAATGTCCCAGATGTGGAGGATGCAGCTCCAGGGAGGTTCTCTGCCAGACATGCCATCACCATAGGCCATTTTTGATCTCCTCCATCAGCTTGGAAGAGGCAATTCAAATTGAATACCCATAGGAAGGAAGCATCAAGGACAATTAAATGCAAGAGAAAGACAAAGCTTGATGGCCCCTGCCTCTGTATGTTTCTTTGTTGACATCAAGAGCACTTCTCATGTTTACTTTTCTTCTTGCATCTGCCTGCCAGGGCTGTGTTGGCTGTTTATGTTTTTTAATGCTACATTGACCCAGATTTGGAACAGGCAGGTGGTGATCCAGGCAGTGGGTTTGTATCTGACTCTGCTTATGCAGTTAGCTATGAAATGCTGAAATGGAAAGAAATCAAAGCCTAATCTCCAGTGACCCATACACAGGCATCAGAGTCACCACCAGAGTCTGGAACTGGGGCACTGAGATACAGGCTGCAAAGTGGAGACCTGGCAAGAGCTGGCCTAATGAGTCAGTTGTGCCCTCTGGTCAAGCCTTTGCTGGTACCAACCCAATATATTTACTCATTGGCTTTGATTTTCAGCAGCACATCCTGTGTGCACCTCCAGGCTGGAAAAAGTGCTGGCTCACAGGCATTGCAATAGCCAAGGGCTTTGGAGAGCTCCTGTTGAAATGGCAATTTGTTTAAAGCATGTCATCCACCTGCGTATGACACAAAGAGAATGTGAATGGTTCTGTTCTGGGTCACAGCAAGCAGCAAGAGGTAGGTGAAACCTGTACAGTTCAAATGACTGTAACTTCTCTGCTAGTTATTTTCTCTGCTTTCCCTGGTCCCTTTTGTGGCCTGCCTCGTGTGAAGGTGGCAGCAGCACAAAAGGAACAGTGAGAGGCTGCCCAGGGCACCACTGGGTGGAGGCAAGAGAAGCACAGGGCCAGTGGGAGCTGCTGGGAGGGGAGGTCTTGTGTAAAGCATGCCAGGGCAATCCCACGTCCCAGGGCTAACCTATTCCCAAAGTGCTCCCCAGGTCTGTTATGCTCATTGGTGTAATCACATTTATTGCAGCAGGATGTCAGGGACAGTCCGGATCCTTGCCTCGCTATCTGGAAAGAAAGTAATCCCTGCTCAGTGCTTTTCAGCCAAATACGTTGACAAATAGCAGAGGTGAGCACTGTAATATGTTAGTGAGAGAAAAAGGGGTTGCAGCGCTTCTCTGCAGAAGGAAAATTGTTTTCTGTTTAAGCATAAGTTAAATATCAGAGAAATGATGATCTTACAAATGAAACATAACACCCCCAGGGGCTTATTCCTGTATCAGCCACTAATTTACTGCATGACCTTCAGTAGTTCATTCATTGCCTCCATCAATTTTTTTGTCAAACAAGCCCAGTGACAAATTCCTTTCTTGCCGAGGTCTTGTGAGGACTATGCATCTCCACCAGATCCTCACGGGATATATCAAAGGCAAAGTGTTTTCTCAACGAGATCTCACTTAATCTCCTCACTGATGTAATGTGGCACATTAGCTCGTTGTACTAAGCCTGGAGCCTCCCACTCAGAGCCCATCCCACCTGCCTCACATGAAGGTGTGTGTTGCCCTTCTGAGCACACTTCCTTCCTCTGCCCCTGCTTCCCTGGATATCTTTGTAGTCTCCCTAACGCCTCCGCCCTTGCCGTAGCACACCGGTCTCCACAGAAGAGCCCTTGCCTTGGCACGGATTGGCAGAGCCAATCACTTCCCTTCAAAGAGAGGTGTTGCCTCAGCAACCAAAGTTTTGAAGTTGGGCAAAGTTCTGAAGAAAAATCCCAACCAATTGTGATGGGAAATGACACTCAGGAACAAATGTACCACGTTGCCATGGCAGCCTGAATACTTGCACAGCTCTTGGTGTTTTGAAAATATAAAAAGATTTGTGCTTCAAATGAGTCCAACTAACTTAATGCCTTTGTCAGGTAGCTGCACAATGCCAAGGGTCTGGCATTTGTGTTTTATAGCTGGCATGTGAATGACTTCATCATTTCTGAAATGAAAGTAACTTCTGCTCTCAGTCTGATAGACGAGTATTTGAGACCACACGTTCTTCCAGGCTGCCTAGTCTGGTATTGATCTGTTAGGGTTATTTCTGTCATTTGAACTCCATCAGTTCTCGGTTGTCTTGGTTTCCACATCTGTGTTTCATCTGTTATTTCATTTGGTGTACTTCTCTGTCTCAGTGTCTGGGCTAAAAACAGCAGGTGATTTGTTCAAAGGGATGGGTCCTCTTGCTAGAACCACAGTCTTTCTTCTGAGCCATGAGGTGCATGAGTGGCTTACAGGGAGCACAGACTTTTTCATACAGCTCTGTGAGCTGAACCAAACATGATTTTTCTGCATCAGCTAGATGCCTTCTCCTGATTACAGTGAGGAAGAGGAATAATCAGCCTGAAGGTATTCCTGTGCCTGTTGGACAGACTCCCTTTGCAAACCCAAATGTGAACTGAATTCTTCTGAGTCTGTAAGACCATCCAGATCTGGAGTGGTGGTGGCAAATGGTTTATCACCATTTGCCCTAGAAGGGCCTGATTCTTGTTTGGCAGCTTCTTGGTAGAGCTTCCTGTGACCTGGGAAGTAAGAGCAGAAGGAGGATGAGAAACTGAATTTTGGTGATCTGCTGCTGTTATTCTTCACTGCTACAGCCAGCCAGCCCTCTGGTAAAAGCAGTGTGGGTAGGAAAAGGGCTGTGAGATGCAGCTGTGAGGGGAACAGGCACTGGTCCAGTGCTGGGAAGACTGAATCCCAGACATTCATAGAAGGAGGCAGATTCTCAGTATTTAGCTGAGAAATAACCTGGGGCTCTGACACCACATTTCATTCCTTGCTGGTGGAAAGCTAAGCATGGGAACAGCTCTCTCAGCTGGCCAGAGCAAATATGACTTTGGCAAAGTCAACTCTCCTCTGTTGGCAGAGAAACAGCTCAGCTGAGGAGCACCACACTATGGGTGCAGCGAGGCCACGGACGGGTGCCCATGTGCCAGCTTGGCCTGAGTGCATGCACAGAGCACGGTGACACGAGCACTTCCCACCTAGGCTGGGCCACAGCTCAGAGATCACATCCCACCATCATCTGGGACTTTTCTTTGCCCCTTGTCCACTGGAGTGTGGACGCTGCTTCATCATCCTCAGCATCCTCCCCATTGCCCTGGGTGGGCCAGTGCTGGCTGCTCTGCCTTGTAGGCTGTGTGGGAGTGACCTAATTTGGAGAAATTGTGGGAGAAGCATTAGGAAGCCCACACGGAAGTGGGAATTTCTGAGCTCCTTGGCAGGAGCTTAAGCCACGTATCCATCCCCTGCAGCTCCTGGGCACTCTTCCCTGGTTCATCTACTCCCCTGGTCCATGTGTGCATCTCACCCCAAATGTGCCTCTCCAAGGAGACAGTTTATCTCTAGTGCTTTGGAGAGAGGAGTCACTGTTCCTAATTACTCAGCAGTACAAAGGTTTCTAGTCTCTCATTTTCCCCTGACAGTTTTATTATGGAAATATTTTTTACTCTGGGCTCTCTCCTTTGTGTTTTTGTGTGGCTTTTACAATAGGGGCTCTTCAGTGCTTGCTCTCAAGCAGCTCCAGTGAGACACTGGCTTCAGCCAAAACACACAGCTGCCTCTGAGGAGGCAGGCAGAGAAATGCTGGCTGTTCTGTAATGGCATGCTCAGGTCAGTCCCAGCTCCCCAGCCTCCACTCCTACACCTACCTTTGCTTCTCTTGGCCTCCACAACTGCAGCAGACTGACAGGCAGTCAGTCCCATGCCTGGTGACAGTTCCTCTTTGCAGCTGTGCCCTGCCCATGATGTTTGGGACTGCAGGGCTATGAGCTTCACCCCTCATGGAGCTCCTCTTGCCCCTCCACCTAATTACTCTGTCTTATCTGCTATTTGTACAGAGCCATGCCAACAGATGGAAAGGTGTGAGGTGTGGGACATACCCAGCAGATGAAGATGGGATCTGGAAAATAAATGGAAAAAATGTAAGGTCACTCAAAATACTCACTTCAAATGGATCCCTTGATCTGAGCCTGTTGAGGTCTGAGGCAGTTTTGCTGGAGATTATTGTCACAATTATTTAATAAAGAAATTGTATAAAATCCATAGTCATTAGTACATTTGAGATTGTTCTAGTTTACTAGACAAGTAAGTGCTCAAGCCTACAGCAACCCCATTTAGGAGGTTTATTTTGTGCCATGAGAGCTAAATATATTTCTGAGCCACACACTTTATATACTTAGACAGAAACCTCTTCTCAGTCTATGTAAGAAAAAGCACAGAGAGGCATCATTAACCAAAATTAAAGTATTGTCCTGCCCTTGATCCTGTCCACCACATTTTGCAATTTTGCACGGAATGGGTCTGTCTCCTCTCAGTGCACAGGCTATAAGGGTATCACAGTCACCATGTGAGAGCAGGGCATTGAAAGTTGATTGTGTGTACCCCAGCCCAAGGCAGTCAGTCTGCCCCAGCAGTGGAAGCTTTCGGGGAGTGGGATCTGTGTAGGGTGCTCAGATAAGGAGGGAAGGTCTGTTTCATGTTAGGTTAGTATTTTTTGCTTGTGTTGTAGTTTCTATTAGAAGGGATGAGTAAAGTCGAATTGGTGGGAATGAAGCAGAACTGGTTTTCTAGAGAAGTCCCAGTGGATCCATGGTGGTTGCTTTGCTAATACTTTATTGCTCAGAGTTGACTCACTCTGTCCAGAGGGGACCTGATCAGCAGCAGCAGAAGCTGCCTCGCAGGACAGAGCGTGGTGATGTGGCTTTTTCCCAGGATGGTGGAGAGGACCACGTGCCATAACCTCTGACAGTTCCTCACAGGGCCTGTCAGGAAGGTTTCTGCAGTGTGGCTCTGTGGCTGCCTGCATTTTTGGTGCTTGGGCTTTGATATGTGCACATGTTTTTGTGTGTGTGCGCTCATCTGTAAGTTGTAAATTGCTGTGCTTCTCAACCAAAAGACACTGTAGCTCCTTCTCAACACCCTTGAGAACTGCTGGCTGGAAACAATACCAGCATAAATAACCAGGAAGACCTGCAATTTCCCACATCCCAGCTCCTTGCAACCAGGGCAGAGCTGTTCTTGTGCCCTGGGGCTGCACTCGTCCTTCTTGTGTGCACCCCTGGGGCTGCCAGTGTGAGATGCAATGGTAAAATGGGTTTTCCAGTAACTTTCCTCAACAGATCTCCCATCTCTCACACCAGGAGGCCCAGCATGTCCTCTCAGGATTGGTTTGCACCCAGGCCCAAGACTGAAGACGCTGCTGCTTTGAGGAGGCAGTGGCAGCATATCTCCCACATCCAAAGGAATGAGCAGAAGACAGCAGAAAGAGATGAAAGCATGATTAATACCCAGGAGCACCTGAAATCAGAAGAGAGGTGAGAAGCATCACCTCTGAGTATTGAGGCCATCAGGCTGGAGCTGGAGCAGGCAATGACAGGCAGACAGAAATAAATGACTCACTCAGAAAAAGGTCAGCCACACTTGATTTGCCAGAGCCAATTTGTGGTGAGCGTGCAAGCTGGGACACGCAGCAGTGACCACTTTCAGATTTGTTTTGAGGCCACTGTGAATGTCCCTTCTTGGAAACCCTTGCCCTGAGAGCTTTCAGCCAGCAACATCTCACCCTGAGGAGGATGGGAGGGGGGCACAGGCAGAGGTCTTTATTTGGCAGGCAAGGCTGGTCAACAAATGGAAAATTTTAGTGAAATCAAAAACATTAGGAGTTTTTTTTTTTTTCAAAACTTCATGTTAGTATTGTTTGCTTTCTCAAAGAGAAAAGAAAAATGCTAGAATTTCAGATGAAAAACCCCCACTTTTTAAATTTCAATACTTCATTTTCTACCAAATCCAGGTGTGGAAATTGGTGAAGATGGCTTCATAAAGGACTGAATGAAGATTCATCTTGGAAGGAATAAAATAGGTAATTTCTAAACACATTAAGGGACAAGTGAGATGATTTTCCACAAGAGTATTTTGTCATGCCGTGTTCCTTGTCTCTCTCAGTTTGCACAGAGAGTCATTCCATGAGTACCCACTTAGGACACCCTTTGGTAACAACATCCTCTCAGCAGAATTGTCCTGGGACAGCTCAGATAACAGAACAAAACATTTCTTCTTCTAAAAACAGCTCCCAGGCAGTCTCTGGGCACTCTCAATCTGATTATTTAAGTGGAGTTTGAGTACAAGATGTGATTTGGTCATTACAAACTCCCACCCTTAAATAAATTTACATTGGTGTTTCACAGGAATGTTTACTCCTGCTTCCCCGAGTTCCAGACATTAAACAAATGGGTTTTGTTTAATTAAAAGCACTCTGCAGGGGTGCTCCCTTAGCTGGGAGATGAGAGATGAGGAAAGGAAACAAATGGGGGGAAATGAGATGTATTTCTTCTTCTCTTGAAACTGCAGATTTGTGTCAGGATCTCCCATTCCACAATTTTTTTTTTAATACATGGGGTTGTTTGGCTTCAGAGTTAAAAATCCATAAAGCAAACCAATTCATTTTAAGTTTCCCATATGGATCTCAAAAAGAACAAGATATTCCTTTGCACTGCAGCACAGTTGGGAGTCTTCCGTTTGGTTGGTTTTTCTTTTTTTTTTTTTCCTTCCATTTTTTCTTTCCCTGCTCTGGCAGGGTGGGAAGTGTTTCTGAAGGGTGTTATACCTCTCTCTCCCAAGCAGGACTTTCTGTTCCATGGCAGAGAACAAGCCCAGTTGAGAGGGGTCAGAACACATAGGGACAAGAGTAGTGTGCATGCTGTGCTGTACTGATGGAGAGGTGCTCTCCAGAATCCTGGGTCCTGAAGGCCTGGGAGCCCCCACAACTCCATAATTTCCAAGGGAGGTTCATGTAAGTCATGCCAGTGGAGCTAAGGTGAATGTAAGGTAAAGAAAGACGTGGTGCTACCAGCCTGAGATCCAACTCTCCTTTGCCTCCTCCAGCAGGCAGTTTTGCAGAAGGAAGAGTGCAGCATGCAGGGTAAGTCCTAAGTGGTGCTGCCTCAGAAGAACCCTTCTGTATTGGAATATGAATCCCAATATTACCAGGTAGATTGTGCCTGGGCCAGTCTGACCCTCGCTGCTGGGCCGAAGGTGGCATCTGTGGTGTATCACCCCAGAGACACCTTTAGCTTGCTGATGGTCTCAGCTGGGCACTAAACAAGTCCAGGCTTGTTAGGAACTCCGTTTACCTCAGGAAGAAGACTTCAGGCAAAGGTGAAGAGAAAAAAGGAGAGGATTCTGCCGGAGGGTTATATCCAGTGGTTTATTCCATGGTTACAGAGGTCTGAATCTTGGGAAGAGCTCCAACAGAAACTCCAACCGCATGGTCTGCTTCACCTTTTAAGCTCAGGGGGTGGGGAGGGGACGGGAGGGGACAGGTGAGCCATCAACCAGGTGGGAGGGGCAGGGTCTCAAGGGACGAGGGACACCTAGACAGGCCAATGACCTCTGGGCCTGAGGGGCATCCTTTGAACTTGCCCAACCGCACGACGCCTTGTTGGAATGTTAGGCCTGATTGACAGGACTCACTCAGCAAGGGGGCGAGGGGGGGAAGGGAGACGGGTATTGGCACACCTGGGGAAGAGACCTGAAAGTTTAAAACACACCGCAACACTTCTGAAAATCAGGAGTTATAGGAATTCCTGAGCCAGGAGATGCTTCTGGGTGCTGTGTTTAATAATCACTGAAGAAGCCAGCTACAGCTACCACACCACCTCATCAAGAAATTCCACTGGAGCAATAATGAGCATTTTTTGCCAAGAGCCAGAGAGCTCTTTGTGCTGTCGTTTTAACTACATTTTTATACTTGACAGTTTTCAAAACACTATAAAGTTATACAAGAATGAACTGAATGCTGTTCTGCCTATGTTGGATTGTGAGCTGGAGCTGAATTTGGTGTTTCAGCCTAGCCTCTGTATTGCTAGAGGGAGAAATACTCGCAGCACCCTGTTGGTGTGCAAAAAAGACTCCCAATCATAAAGGAAATTGAGAAAACAAATAACTCTCAGCTCTGTTATTATTTATAAAATGAGAATATTTCCTATCCTTATGAAATAATGTGTGAAGATATTTTCATAGAAAACTTTTGCAGAGCATCTCAGTGCTAAATTCTATGACCAAAAAAGGGTATCTTGGTGTTTCTGAACTGCTTTTTCTAAATCTAGGTAGTATTTAGGATTTTTCACTGGTCTTGGACACTTACTTGGCTCCAGAACACAAGGCAAGTCACAGTGTTCTGGAGCCAAATGGTGTTCCTAGAGCCTCTCCTGGTACTGAGCAAATATGCAAGCAAAGGTTTCTGTGGAGCATTCACCTTATGAAAATGTTCCTAGAGTGATGGAAGAGGAAAAAGTTTAAACAGCTGCTGAGAAAAGAGGGTTTTGCAGGAGTGAAATATTTCACATAATAAGCAAAACTTAAGAAGTAAGCTAAACACCAGGAATAACGAAACAACAGAAAGAAAAGCAGAAATATTTTGAAATACATCAGTGCATCCTCATAGAGATGCCCTTTAATCAACCTAGTGCCATTGGATTTGTTCTCTCCTCACCATTTAAGGAGCTCCTTGCATTTTCCGTGCAGCATTGTGACATTGATCCTAGCGTGCAATGAGTAAGTGTGTTTTCTTTCAGTGAAAATTTCCAGCCCCCAGCTTGGTTTCTATAGCCATGTTCTTGCAACCATTCTTGAGAGGGTGCCTGATTTGTTCCACTTATTCATTAATAACATGTGTTGTGGCTTTTTCTGATGTAAACATTAGCCAGTCTTTCATTAGGTTTTTAATAAACTTGTCCACCACCACATACATTAAAATGAAAAATTATCAATGACCCCTTTTGCAAATCATTAATGATGACACGCAATTTGGGTGATGAATCACGGGTTTGCTGTAGATTTAGGCTATGTTTGTGTCCATCTCAGTGGAGTCTGTCCCCTTCTCCATGGTAACTGCTCTGCCTC